TGTTTCCATTTCAGCAATTGTGTTATCTTCGTAAAAGTATGCCACTACAGAAACTCAAAATCTTAAACAACTATAGAGCATTGAAATTAACATGAATCTCAATTTCTAGAAACTACGAGGAATATTGTTATCTCTTCAAAACCACACTCTCTAAATCAATAAAACATGCTCTACGTAACTGACTAGCGGATATTCAAGGCGAACGTGATCTTATGCATCTCTCACTAATAACAATAAACAACCCGGTATCCAATACCAGATTTATATATCTACACATTTCTAAAAGTGTATTTCTTCATTGTTAGGCAATCAGAATAACAAATCTGACAAGCGTAATAATACCAAGGTTCAACTACACTGGGGTAAATCCAGTCATCTCGACCAACTGTTTTCTTCTGAGTTACTTCAACGGAAACCTACACACATTCATTCGCTTAAAAATACAGGACTGGTAGATAGGTTGCTGGGTCCACGCGAAACTGGTTTCTACGACAGTCAGATGTAACTTTGCAGTTTAAAGCGTCCTTAAAATTTCTGTATTGCTTGATATATATCACTTTATTTTAGTGTCATTATTCTCCTCCTTAGAAACGTTTATCCTGCATATTTTGCTGCTCTAATTTTCCTACACTCTTATTCCTAGCCTGCCGAATAAACTGAACAGAAATGGAGTTGAGACCAGCACTTACTTTATACAATAAATGATGACTGGCAGATTAAACAAATCAGAGGTTAGCAGCGAGTCAACAATCCGTGCTATCAACCGTATTATGAGGAGGCTCCAAATGACACTGAACAATGACCTACTCCTAGTAAAACTACTAAGTAAAACACAGTAATGGGAAAAAACGTCTTAAACACGGAAACTTATTCGAATTTTGAGAAAGAACTAAAAAGGAAAACAGCATCGCATTCTCGTCTTTCTATAAAACTAGCGATTCAGGATGTAAATGTAACTGTCGCTGGATTCACTGTCAATGTTATACTGCAGTGCCGCGACTACTATGAGTTCACGTCGAGTCATCCCTATACGTAGTTTAAGTATGCTTGCATTTAGTATAGAATCAATAAGTCAACAGAAAGAACAATAGCAAAGCAAAAGGTGTCATTAAAAAAGACACGTCAGTTTTCGCAGGCATACTCTATGCTTCCAACACAGGACCGACCAAACAAACAACCAAAGCAACTAAGACCCAAGCTCATTCACTTCAGTACATTTTAAGCGCAGTGCTATAGTCGAGCGTTAGTAGAAGAAGTTGTAACAGATACGAAAACGCCACAAATCAGGGACAAGTACATTAGACAGAAATCTTACTTTGATTCAATGTCTCAATGCTGCATAGTAGTTTACCGAAAAGCAGGGATGACTTCGTCTCAGAACAGTGAGACAGACACTGCCTAATTCTGACGTATTGTGTAATGCAGAGTCTGGAACATCATCTTGTTAAATAGCTTCGTAAGTGAAAAACCCTTTTCAAAACATTTTAGAAACTTTAACATTTTGATCTTCCCTGTAAATCGGCATGCCTCTTGTAACATGTTGTTATTTGAGAATAACTTATTATTATTATCACAGGTAAAGACACTGAAAGACTCGTCTTGTGCGTAATAGTGAGGTTTATCAGAACAGGGTTCACTCTTTGATTTATAGATCCAAGAGATCTTCGGGCTTGATGAAGGAGGACTTAAAATAAAATCACTGTGAGCACAAAAAGTCACCAAAAGAGTGTATTTCTTGGTCTAATTTAAGAGGTCTGCATATTTGCATCTCTAGACGTGGAGAGATTCGAATACTTCATTTCTATCTGAAGCTTTTGCTGACGATGTTGTTCAGAAGAATAATGAAAGCTCCACAACCAAAACATCCAGCTCAGAGAATGAAACACCAACACAATCATCCGTCTGAGCTTTAAATTTTCTCCACCATCTCGGAGGCATACAATGCTAGTGACTAGTGGTCATACCATTTGAGGCTCATTGTCAACGAGAATGGGTGATAAGTGCGAAACAGTTTAAGGTACTCAGGTATGAACAGTGATTAACATACTGAAAAGAGGTGGTGGGGGGAGATGTGTAGAAGTTTTGTTTTCTAAACAGATCTGAATGGCCAAAGATTGTGAACTGCGTTTATGAATTAACAGGCGTACTGTACTGTACTTTCCATTGGCATAATCAAGTTACGACAAAATGGTTGGATGTATCCATGGGTGTCGTCACTTATCTGGAGGATACTGGTGGCCGATGTTATGCAGAACATCGGGAAAGCCACAATCCTGCACTGCAGCATACGATTAAAAAGAAATACGAGGTTGCAGTTACAGGGTGATAACTCCATTTAAGTTACCTCTAACGATATTGTTCTCATCGTCATGCTGTAGTGAACCCCAAGAAACTAGGGAAAATACGAGTGGTGCATTACTGTGCACCTATTGTAACTAGTAAATCTTTGAATAGCTAGCTCTACCAAGAACCACTTATGACCACACTTTGATCAGTCTTCTGCTACGTTTCCGCTAGGAACACTTTGCCATAGCTGTGGATGTTGAAGAAACCTTCATGAATGTAAAGGTCCCGAATCATAACCCTGGAGCACTACATATTTTGCGGTGGTCAGAAGACAATCCGTAAAATGAGCTTGGGGAATATAAGATAGCATCAAACTTGTGAAGTGCAATTACTGCCTTGGTGAAGACGGCTGGAAAATCAGCAAATGCGATTATAGCGACGTAGCTGAAGTGGTAACGCGCAATGTTTACATGAATGACTCCCAGTATCGTTTCTAAATGATTAGGATGTGTAAAGGTTTGTGATGCAATGAAACAGAGAAATGCTCCACACTGTTTAATCTCTGTTTGATTCACTAAGTCCTATTTCTCCAATATGCCTTCCTGCTTAGTAACTCTAGCAGAATCTCTACAAGTTTCAAATTATCTAGGACTAACCTTTCAGTACTAATGTTGTGTCCTTGAGTTGCGGTTGGGTTGAGTTCATGCAGAAATTCAGAAAAATCAACATTGGGTGATTGAGTTACATTTTTCTGCAAGGCCTCCGATACCGGTCAGGGTGCGGTTGCCTACTGTTGTGGCATACCTAAACCCGAACCACGTACATTGTCCTGGTCTACAGTTAAACTAAGTTAGCACCCATAAAACCGGTTACTATGTTTATTTTAGAGTTAGCAGAAGCAGTCGTGAATAGAAACCTCCCACTTAAGTTTGATAAAGCCCAATTCTTAACGGATTATGTGGTAGCACCATACCGCGTGAAAAATACAGAGAGCAGGTGTTACGCGTTCCGAGTCGATGGTCTGGCAGTTATTCATCAGCTGGCCTTAGTGGATCACTGGAATTAGATTAATCTGATTGGAGCGGTTATCGTTAAATAAGCTAGCTTCCTTAAGAATTAAGTGGACGCGGACGTTTTCTTATATGGTGATGATTGGTTGAGACACTTCAACGTATATGCGCATACTTTTGACATCTTTAGTGTACGGTAAAATCTGTGCGCTTGCAGTAGCCAAGTATCGGTATAGAGCTCTTGGTTAGCCCAAACCTTGACTCTAATAGTGCGTGTTACCTACAACGTAACTTTAACTACTAGACAAATGTCTGTTGACATGACTAAGTGATAAATCAGCGTGTGATTTCCACTTTCATAGAGAATAATAATATAATTGTACAATAAAATAAAGCGGAATTATTTTTCATCAGACTTAAGATATCCATATCTCTGTTTAGAGTTGTAGGCCATTCATCAGTACTTTCCACAGCAACGCGTGAACGTTAAAAATTTAGCTTCAGCCCTTCGTAAGTTTGTGTTCAGTCTTAGGCTACTTTAAACTATGGGGTAGTGAGAAGTTATCTGTTTTAGGAAAGAACCAGAGAAAAAGTGAGCAGAAGACTAGTTGAAAACAAAGAGTGCAGTAAATATTGGTACAGAACAAAAGCTGACAACGTTCAGAAATGACACAAGCATAAGACTGAGACAAACTGATAAACGAACCTTAAAGTTGGTCGTGTACTATTTTAAAAAACGGTTTAAAACTCAACCGACCGGAGTTCCACGTCATGCATTTCCTGCCTCATATGACGTAAACGACCTATACCCTCAATGGAAGTCCGCTCCCTAATGTCTCCTCAGAGCGCGATCTTGGTTTAATAACCACAGAAAGCCTCCACACCAGTTCAAACTATGTAAAGGATGCAGCCAAGGCAAATGCGACTCTTCAATTTATGCGAAGACAGCTTCGTGCTGTCACCCCGAAATTATTTTTAACCCTGTTTAAGACGTGCGCGCACCCACACTTGGAGGTTCACAACGTCATCGCACCCCCTCTGCTTAAAATAGACATTACTCTCTTGGATCGAGTGCAGAGACGAGCAACGAAATGGGTGATAGGGTTGAAAAATAAACCTTACGACGATAGACTCCAGCTCTTAGGATTATTTCCACTGAGCTACAGGAGAATCAGAGGTGATCTGATTACGGCGTACACCATGTTAAACATATTGCAACTGACTGATTGCCGGTCTGGTAATGTGATAGCTGCTGATATCCAGAAACACTACGGCCCTGAAACAAACGTTTTCATTCAAATCCCGAGACATACAAATTCACAACCAACTGCCAACTGACTAGAATTAGACATTCGAGTGGCTAGACCTCCATCCATTGGACATTACGGAACACCTGGAACTGTACCGAAAGAACAAGAAGAAATCAAATCGGTTTACACTAGCTCGTGAAAAAGATATTGGATATTGGAAGTGCCTAATTTTAGGACCAAATCTACGACCACGACGATCAAATTTTGCGCTACGTGGCTTTTGGTCACGTGATAATGTTATTATATCTCTTAAATTTGCTCATGGCGTTTATGTTACAGATGTAGTAACCGCGTATCTTATTACAATAGACATTTTGTCTTGTCCATATGCAGACCAACAACCCTCAATTTCACTACTGTCACGTTTAGACGATTGAGTTGTCGTGTGAATTAAATGTATCGTCAATTAGTGTCAGTACTTTCTCTTTTGGTGATTATTGACAAGTATTCTTGTTCTTCTGGTGACGGGTGTTTTGGACTTTTCGGTGAGTTCAATGGCTTTTTTTGATAAAACGTTTTGCTCAGAAAAGCTTAAATGGAACAGGACATTCAGTTTTAACAACAAAGTATTGACACTCAAACTTGAAGTCACTGATAATCCGGGACATTGGATTGTAAATTACCTATTTGAGATTTTAGCACGGGAACGATTGGGATATACTAAAATAGAGTTTGTTCCAGCTGAAGATGGTGATATAAGGAATTCTCTTAAAAGAATTCAGTGTCCTGATGCTCAGTAAGTCCAGTGTAGAAATTTTTCATTATATCTAAGTAAATTTTCACATTAGCATCATGAGCCTAGATATGTTGAGTCGTTTCTGACAAACGTTTTTTGGCTTACTCTTTTTCTGATGAAATCATTTAGGGCCTTGTTTTTCGTCGTTAATTCTAATGAGATATCTGGTTTAGTTGAATGGCATTGTCTTCAGTCTTTATTGTTATTGAGCCATAATTAGTGTCATAGCCAAAATAAGGCATACACGTATGAAATCAAATTAGACTCCTACATATTCATAAAATTATGTCGTAAGTAGTATAATATTTATTGCTTTTTACCCCGTAAACACGCGCGATCCAAAATAATGAACATGAATTTTTACGTTAGGCAATATTCCCATCTCATATAGGTAATTTCTTTATGCTCCCACTCCTTTAGCTGTTAGTAGGTTTGTACTACGTTTTACAATCCTATAGTTGCTAGTGTCCGATTGAATTTCCCATACGTCCTAGATTTGTTGTGTCATAGTAATTATAAACCTTTAGTGAAGTTCAAAGTAACCACGTGGTAATAAATACGCCACAGTTTTTTTTATTAGTCTCATTATACACAAATTGCTTTGTTGCTTACAACTCTGAACGGTTTATAACTCTATACTGCAAAAGTATAGTGTACTGATAACCTTTAGAGACCTGTCAGCCAACCAGAAAACGCTGCCTAGTTATTAAAACAAACGGAGAAATGCAGCAAAATATCAGTGGGATAGGAGCTTCGGTCTGAACAATCGTCTCTCATATCGAATTATTCCTTCTAGAAAAATAAAACGGTTAAGTTTAAACATTGGGGATCGTGCTATTGTTGTGAGTTAAGGTCATCACCCCTTATAGTCTTTATTACTAACTGACACTAAGTGTAATACGAAAATTCGGGGTTAGTTACCTGTATTTAGGCCGGATTTTCAAGTTAGGGTTAAGGTTTTCATCCCAAAACGACATTAGCCATGATGCAATACCAAGTCATCTTACTGTTTACAGGCTTATAGCTGAGTTTTGGAGCAAGGGTCAATAAGAAAGGGTGTTATTGAGTCTCACTAAACACTTCACAACGCATGGAATCATAACAAGCGCTTGCACTTTCTTTGCCTTAGGAGCAGCATTGTTTGTTAATTTAACTTGATAACCACCTTAAATTCACTTTACGCTAATAAAAGAGGACCCGACCGGAGCTGCTACCTTGACGTGGTGGTCGGGCTTGCCTATCGTGAAAACTCGACCGAGCTATATTGGCTGGAACATATGTTCCTGAAGGTTCTACCATGCCAGGCAGGTCGATTGGAGAACGATGAGACTAAAAGAAGCTACTCAAGGTGTGAGGGCGAAGTCGTACTGCTGACTGTAGAGAGGTGTGACAACCAGCATCTGCATCGATGCTGCCTTCTCACAAGGAAGAATGGCTTTAGACAAGGTCGACCCTAAAAATGTTACACCTCACCCTACCTCACGGATTTCCGTTTCCGGCTGTATGGGCTTTTAAAAAGAACGGATCTAACACTTCAAAATCTTCATAAAGAGGCCGTGCGTGACCGATCTCAAGCAGTTGTCCCTTGGGCACTGCGGTCACGCTCCTAGGTCGTTAAAACCAACACTTATCTACCTTCCTTTTCAGGTCCCTCAACAAGCACCCTCCCACGTTGTGGGCAGCCAGGAAGTGACACCCGCCCTTATACCCATACCAGTACACGAGATCAAATCTGTCACATATAAATCCTCCCTACACCCCTAAAAACCCCCCTTATCTTCACGACTAACTGTTCTCACATTCCTTCATCACGCCGCACCGCCGATGCAAGCGATGCTAGTTCCCGAAACGTCATTCCTGGTCTCTTGAAACCCCCTTCTATATTACAGGTTGGAGCTTTCAATGTACGAACATTGTGTCAAATAGGGCAACAAGCTTCCTTGGCTAGGACTTTGGAATCTCGTGCCATCGATGTATGCTGCGTCTCGGAAACGCGCATACAGGATCCTAGTAAAATCAGTAACTTGATTTCACCTCATCGAAATAAAGAAGCAGCTCGATTTACTCTTCGTGTATCTGGAAGCCCTGATTCTGCTTCCAGGGATCTTGCTGGTATAGGTGTAGCATTGAGTCGTAGAGCTGAACAATCTCTCCTTGACTGGATCCCAGTAGATAGTTGCTTGTGCGCTGTCCGACTAAACGGAGCAAATAGGGACACTCGCCATCGCCTTCCCGTCGTATCTGCCTACACTCCCACTGACTGCAGATCAGATGGTGTGAGTTTCACAGAAAGCTTTCGGATCTCCTCCGGAAAGCTAGGCGCTATGATGTAGTAATAATGGCTGGTGACTTCAATGCTCATGTAAGTAGACTAAGTGAATACGAAAGACACCTGGGTGGATCTTATGGTGTCGCGGCTCAGAAAACAGACAATGGCGACCGTCTGTTGCAAGTATGCTCAGATAACCGCCTATTCCTAGCAAACACTAACTTTAGGCATAAGGGAGAGCATCTCTTGACCTGGCGACCCCCAAAGTCGTCTCAACGTTGGACCCAACTAGGTCACATTGCCATCAGCCACCGATGGAGGGGTTCGATAGAAGACTGTCGCTCGTTCTGGAGCACATGTTTAGATTCAGATCATGCCCTAGTGCGAGCGTGTATCTGTTTGAGGCTTACTGGACGTAAAAAGACACTGTAAGGAAGCCTCTTAGGGTTTTATTTAATGATAATAAAGCTAGGAATATATTTCAGGAACAACTGGAAAGAGAGTTAAGCAACCATGTAAGCGATTCCTATCTGACAGCAGGTTGGTTTGATATCAAAAAGGCTGTGGAAACAGCAGTGATATCTGCTAGTAAGGTAAACCATAAGGCTAGAATGAATGAATATTGGCCTCAATAATACTTCGGCGCTTAACGAAAGCTCGTGAAGAGCAGATTAGAGAAAACCAGTCTGATTTTCGACCTGGACGTGGCTGTATAGACCACATCTTCACACTACGACAGGTCCTGGAACATAGACACACATTTAGACGTCCTACAATAGTTGTTTTCCTGGACCTAAAAGCGGCATTTGACTCTGTTGATCGTGAGGTTCTGTGGCAGTGTCTGTCATTGAATGGTGTACCAAAGAAGTACATTAACCTTATTCAAGCTCTCTACTCGAACACCACTGGTCGAGTGAGAGCTTATGGCAAACTATCAACGGAATTCTTTACTTCAAGTGGTGTCCGTCAGGGATGTCCACTCTCTCCATTCTTGTTTAATTTTATCATAGACATGCTCCTAGAAATAACCTTATCCTCGTCTGAATTTTCAGGAGTAGACCTTCTACCAGGTGGCTCCCTTATTGACTTAGAATATGCCGATAACATTGTCCTACTTGGTGTACTTACTTACTTTCTCCCGTCACCCCTAATGGAGCATAGGCCGCCGACTAGTTTTCCCCAGTTAACTCTGTCCTGGCCTTCCTTTTCCAATTCTGTCCAATTTTTGTTCATTCTTCTCATGTCTTTATCTATTTCTCGGCGTAATGTGTTCCTTGGCCTTCCTCTTTTCCTTTTGCCTTGAAGGTTCCAAGTGAGGGCTTGTCTTGTGACGCATTTAGGCTCTTTTCGTGGTGTGTGTCCTATCCACCGCTTCCACCGCTTCTTCCTCATTTCCTCCTCCACTGGAATCTGGTTTGTTCTTTCCCACAGTACGTTGTTGCTAATCATGTCTGGCCAACGAATCCGAAGTATTTCGCGTAGACAACTGTTAATAAACACTTGTATCTTCTGGATGATGGCTTTCGTAGTTTTCCAAGTTTCCGCTCCATACAGTAGAACTGTCTTGACATTTGTATTGAAAATCCTGATTTTGGTTTTGGTTGAAAGTTGTTTGGAGTTCGAGATATTTTTCAACTGTAGAAATGCAGCCCTTGCTTTGCCGATCCGCGCACTCACATCTGCATCAGATCCACCTTTCTCGTCGATGATGCTGCCCAGATATGTAAAGGTGTTAACGTCCTCCAAGGCATCTCCATCAACGGTGACTTGGTTGGTGCATGTTGTGTTGCATCGGATAATTTTGCTTTTTTCTTTATGTATGTTGAGACCTACTGCTTCTGAGGCTGCTGCTACACTGGTCGTTTTCTCTTGCATTTGTTGTTTCGTGTGTGATAGAAGAGCTAGGTCACCTGAGAAGTCTAGATCGTACAGCTGAGCTCCTGAACTAGTGATGGGGAGTGAAGCAGTTGAGCGTGTAGACCGCTTCACTTATCTTGGGAGTCTCACTGGTACTGATGACCTTGTTTGTGACGAAATCTCGACTCGGATGCAGAAGACTTTACTGACTTTTGCCAGCTTGTGTTATGGAGTAGGCGAGATATCAGTCCGCTAACTAAAGGACGAGTCTACTGCACGGCACTTTGCTCCGTTCTACCCAAAGGTGCGAAACATGGCCAGTAAGAGTCTAAGATATTTGAAGGTTGCTAGTATTTGATCCTAGTTGTTTTCTTAACATTGCTCATATATCCTGGGACCACCGAGTTGGTAATGATGTTGTTGGGAAGTGCGTACTGAGTAAGGATGGCAAATCAGTTGGTGAAGTCGTGCATCTTCATCATTTGAGATGGTTGGGACATATGTTAATTATGCCCAACCACTGACTGCTACGACGAGCTATGTTTTGTGATGTAAGTGTTGGCTGGAAAGTCAGGGGCTGCCAAGCGAATGCTTGAAGTCATTGACAATTAGACCGAGTCGTGTTAACATGCGTAGACTACTTGGTTGGGGCCCCCGCGTGATAATCTTAGCCAGTGGCTAGAGTCTTTGAATGACAGCTCAAGATCGCTTGTTATGAAGCAGGTGTATGCATTCTTTGTCTACTCTCAAATTTTGATCTGAATTCCTAACGACCTGTTTTTTCTTAAATTTATTTGACTGTTCTAAACTCGAATCATATCTCCGATCTCTAATCCTTTTGATTACCACTAATACTGCTACAATATGATACAAACTGACAATTCTATCCCTCAGTGCTGATGTTGTGCGGCAACTTGAACTGATGTAAGTACTTACAAAGTTCTACGTTTTAGCTGACTGACTGAAACTTTTACTTGTTATAGTTTCTGTGAACTTATCTACCCTTGAAATAATAGTAATGTCAATATATCACATATTTTGCCTTTCTCAGTTAGTCCTGTAGGAATTTCGATCAATGTGATGCTGTTTGGTAAGACTCAGATTCCCTGTCGTGTTCAGTGATAGGGGTTTAAAGTCTACAAAGATGTTTGACAGTAGTCAGAATAAACCAATTGATGGTGCAAATGCAGTGGATATTTCTTTCCCAATCTCCAGCATTATCTTTTTTAAATATGTGGGAAAAAGAGATTTGATTCGGATTGATGGTTCTGTAGATCTAAAGAAATACCCACGATATATGAAAAAAGTAGTTAATGGTAGACACATATTGCAAGTTTCTTTCGTAGTGTTTGGACCGTTCATTAAGGTTAGTACCACTCTTAACTAATGTAATTTGCTCCCAACGAACAAGCTTATAGTTAGTATAGATCAAATAAACTACTGTGACAAAAAAAGCTTGATGACTTTAGTAGGGTAATTGCAGATAGATTTGAAGACCAACCAATTACAGATTATTATGATTATCGTTTTATATGTAAAAGCATTCGGTTTAGTATCTGTAAAGCACGAAGTTATATTAGCAAGCAGGTACTTGGGCATTTCTTATCTGATAACTGAGTATCTTGGTGTATCCTCCACTCCATCTACACCGGAAATTATGTCCGTATAATCAGTTATTTAATGGAGATTAAACTAATATTTAATTCAGTCACAAACATACATTTTTTGTCCCACAGCGTCTTATCTTAAAATGATGTCGAGTATATCATCAAAGAAAATATTGCTTCTAAACTTTATTATTGTCAGAGGCGGGTATGGTAGTTCTGTCACTTAGTATCAAGCTGGAATAACTCTTAATTTTTACTACTAAGCTTCTTCCAGTCGCAGTATAGCTGCGAAAAGATTTTTTCTACTTCTAGAATAAAATTGTTGGTTGTGCCTTCTGCTTGTATCGATTCATTATTTACTGCTTATTGTGGGTAAAATACTTTACAGTATACGAATAAATGTAAAAATTCTTAGTCACTTTATGTTTATGTACAGTCATTCGTTTTGAAACAGTGCAGCCTTTAGTGTATTCTAATACTATGAGAAACCAACATACATTCTAACATTTAAAATGCCTAAGCTTAATTTATTAATAACTTCAGTCGTTTTATGGTAATCACATACATATCATCATATGTACATGATTTCAGATGCGTTAAGTTGCCGGAAATTCACCTTAATTTACTGTTGTGGTTACCACTTGGTGGGGATGTTAAATTCTGGGCAAAACCTTCCTCTGTTACCGACCATGGGCCTCTTGGACCAATTCGTTCTTGGAGACTTTTAACACAAGTAAGGATAATGTTTTGCAAGATTATTTCATTAATATACCAATCTCAAACTATGAAGATTACTTTGAATCCATATTTCCTCTCAGCGTTTTTTATTCGTAAACAATCAAATGTCATAACTATTTTGAATTTCGTAAAACTGATATCAAACTACAACTGCTTGACTAGCTACACTACCAGATCATAAGTGGTCTGTAGCGTGAGCACTACTAGAATGTGCGTGGACGAGATTTTAACTTAATCTGCAAGTCTGTTTTGTTATTTAATTGTCTGTATATAAACGAACAAGCCATGTAACCATTACAGTTTAAAATTTACTATTAAAAGATAATATCTTATTAAACATATTACTTGAGTATACGATCAATTATGTGGCATTTTTAGTAAATCTGTGATGAATAAAATCGGTATAATTTTCAGACTACTTGGTACTGTTTTCAGTAGTATTTAGCAGTATTACACCATTAATCACGTTTATATTTGAAATACCATTGTTTTTTTCAGTCCTGTTACAACAAATCCCATATGAGAGAAAATTCAGACTATAGTTCTGCAAAATACGAATGTAGCTCAACTGTTGATACTGTTAATCGAAGTAAGAATATCTTACATTAAATTTAATTAATGAAGTTTATTACGATTTCCTTTACTTTTTGTTTCAAATAAAGTTCTCCTTTTTGACATAAGATATTTATACAGCTTTATCTATATTTGAAAAAAGTAAATTACGACGATAAAACTATTCCTAATATTGAAATAATCGACTAGATTAACTTAAAACTCCGGTACCTCTGATTTACTCTAACTGATATTTAAAGCTTGAAAATGTATGATTAAAGGAGACAGGCTTGAAAATTGACTGAGGGTATACTGAACAAATCACTTTTTGAAACTGATAATTAAGGACTCTTCACATCGACATTTGACTTTATCATCTGAAAGTTCATTTGGTGATCTGATCAGCTGAATTGTCTTCCGAATAAGCCATACGACTGCAGACATTTTATTCCCAAACTCAGTCATATCCCATAAACTAAGTGATCTTCCCGTTAAAAATTTCCATAGACCAACAGTACATTTACTTTGAAATTTAGGAAGTGATTCCACCTACATCGTTTCTACAAATTATCTTCAGTGGACTACATGTAGAGTTCGTTAGATTTACCAGGAGCCATGTTTCACTATATGATTGCAATTAAGCTGGTAAACGTGTATTGGTAGTAACTTTTGCTGTATGTACTTTGCAAATCTAATTTACCATTAACTGTAAAGTACCAAAATAAATTTACACTGTTTTAATTAATTTACTTAGTGCATATAACGAAAAAGATAACTTGTTGTTCTTACATCACACTAATCCGATTATTTCCCAGTGATCCATCCGAATCTGACATGCAGATTTAGTAGATCAAACAGATTTCTGTATTTCATTTAGTTATTTGTATGAGTTGTGCAACGTTCACCATACTACTCCTGTAATTATTTTCTCATAAAAAGTTTGTTAATATTTAAATGAATTTATTCGTAATTTTTTTAGCGAGAATTTTGTTTGTGGTAAGTACTCAACAAGTTTTATTTTCCTTTACCAAATTACTCAGCTTATCAAACGGAAACTTCACAAAATTCAGATTTGTTCAACAACCGTAGTTTACTCTCTGGGAAATCAATAACTATTTTGGATTTCGAATTAAATTCAACATGTTTACGGTATAATTCTTACAGTATTCCTCCACCGCCTTTATGCAGTACTGATACACGATCTACCTCAACGAATAGTTATCATTATTGCCATACTGAATCTTATCAAGCTGTTAAAGTTACATGGGCTGAATTACGAACAGCAGCTCCACAAATTTTTCAACTTGCATCTAAAATGTATATGTCTAATGATGAATTGGGAGAATTGGTCCACTCAGTATGTTATATTTATTGTTAATCATTTTCCAACGTTGATTTTAAATACTGTCGTAAATGTGTTTAATCGAGAATCATCGAGTCTTTGCATCAATATTTTTTTATTCAGTGTGCACAGATATTTCTGTTATTTCAAATTAGTTAAAGTATAAACAGGTAAAGCCTTCAACAACAGGGTCTTGTTAAACAAAATGAAGGACTTCTTAGACGCCTAACTTCGAGATCAACAGGCTGTATTTCGTAAGGATCGATCGTGTACCTTCCAAATAGTGACATTACGGATTATTGTAGAACAATCGATTGAATGGAACCCACCACTATACATCAAATTCATTGACTACGAGAAAGCATTTGATAGCGTGGACAGTACAACGCTATGACGAGTTCGACACTACATCGTGCCTGAGAAGATAGTCAACATTATACAGAATTCTTATCATGGACTAAACTGCAAAATCGTACACGAAGGTCAGCTGACGGACTCGTTCAACGTAAAGACCGGTGTCAGGCAAGGTTGCTTACTCTCACCCTTTCTCTTTCTCCTGGTGATCGACTGGATTGTGAAGACGTCAACATCTGGAGGATAGCACGGTGTCCAGTGGACAGTTAGGACGCAGCTGGACGATCTGGACTTCGCAGATGACCTGGCTCTTCTATCGCACAGGAAACAACAAATGCAAGAGAAGACGACCAGTGTAGCAGCAGCCTCAGAAGCAGTAGGTCTCAACATACATAAAGGAAAAAGCAAAATTCTCCGATGCAACACAACATGCACCAACAAAATCACCGTTGATGGAGATGCCTTGGAGGACGTTAACACCGTTACATATCTGGGCAGCATCATCGACGAGAAAGGTGGATCTGATGCAGATGTGAGTGCGCGGATCGGCAAAGCAAGGGTTGCATTTCTACAGTTGAAAAATATCTGGAACTCCAAACAACTTTCAACCAAAACCAAAATCAGGATTTTCAATACAAATGTCAAGACAGTTCTACTGTATGGAGCGGAAACTTGGAAAACTACGAAAGCCATCATGCAGAAGATACAAGTGTTTATTAACAGTTGTCTACGCAAAATACTTCGGATTCGTTGGCCAGACATGATTAGCGACAACGTACTGTGGGAAAAAACAAACCAGATTCCAGTGGAGGAGGAAATGAGGAAGAAGCGGTGGAAGCGGTGGATAGGACATACACCACGAAAAGAGCCTAACTGCGTCACAAGACAAGCCCTCACTTGGAACCTTCAAGGAAAAAGGAAAAGAGGAAGGCCAAGGAACACATTACGCCGAGAAATAGATAAAGACATGAGAAGAATGAACGAAAATTGGACAGAATTGGAAAAGGAAGGCCAGGACAGAGTTAACTTGGGAAAAGATTATTTTTAGTATTGACAACAATATATATTGCTCGATTTTTAATACAATCTAGAGATAGGCTGTTGGGGACGTTAGATCCCCAGAACTCACTTGGAAAAGGTCCTAATTTTGTAATTTTATTCCGAAAATTTGAATTTATTTGTTTTTTCGCGCCAGAGATGCTATGTTGACCTTTAGCTTACATTTTCCACTCTGAAAATCCTTGACTGTCATTGATTGACGGTTTATTTCAGTGCTCTATTTTGTGGCTCTCCCATGGGCGTTCCTGTCATTGTATAAATAAGCTTGTTTTGTATGCTTAGCAACCTTGTATTTTGTGGGTGCTTATAGAAAACATTCTCTATGCCTCATCTAGGCTTATTGACTTAGTTAGCAGAGCCTGGGACAAACGGATTAGAATAGCCTATCGTGTCACTGTATCAGTGATCTTTGTTCCGTTCATCGAGTAAGGTGAACTCATAATAGTTTCAAGCATATCATAGGCCGAATAATATATTTAGTTCATATGCCTTGCTATTCCAAAGAGACGATCCAGTTAACGATTTCTAAAAACTAGTCATCCTGTTATTAATGATTTTATTTTACCACTGTAAAACCGTCCAGTTTAAAGGCATTTTTATTGAAATATTTAGTTAACTTATTAATGAAGAATTAAAATATTCAGATCTATACTTATAGTTCAATTTTTAAAAGGACTCCCTTTATCATTGGTTCGTTTTTAAAGTTACTTCTAACGAAAACAGCAGCAATTAAACAAGGTAGTTTTATCGGTCATCTATGTGTTACTACATGGAAGTAGTCATTGTACCTTCGCATAATATTCATGTTCTGCCATCTTCAAAATAGTGCACCGTGAATCCTAATGTTCCCAACTTATTTTATTACATGGGTAAAATCTTAAGTAGCAATTATCAAATAGTCAGAAAAATTATAAAGATGCGATGATAATTAGGTTCTTGGTATTCATTTTACTAGTTGTGCTATTATAACTTATACATAATTCACTTTCCTTGAAAGGCGAGCATAAAACATGAAAGGTTGGGACAACTAGATCACAGAAAATTTAGTTGGATGATTTTCTTCATAAGAATTAATGTTGTTGACTAATACCCATTAAGTTACTATCTCTCTCACATCGAATGTTTACAAAAGGAAAAGGCAATACTAGTTCGCACGCACTTGACTAAAAATTTAATTACTTGAACCTTTATGAAGTTGTATTTATTAAATAAACTCATGTAATAATTTATATATATATATATATATATATATATATATATATATATATATATATATATATATATATATATATATATATATATATATATATATATATATAACTGATCCAGTGAAATGATCCTCATGGAATAGTTGCATTCGTACTATAGTTTCCTAGATTTAGTTCCTTCTGGTACCTAACTTGATTAATCCTACTGCGCAATTAATCCAGTTCTTAGGTTAATCGACTTTTAGATCATTTCTCCTATCCTTCCTTTATAATGTGAATGATCTGAACATTTTTTTAATGGTGTGTCTGTGTTGTATTTCCTTGTTGATATTTCTTCCGCTAGTAATAGTACTTGTTTTGAATTTACTAAAACCTTACGTGTTCACTCGTCCATTTTTGTAAATACATGATAATTCACTGTGGCTTATTATTCTCAATTTTTGTCATTTAGGCTTTACTGGACTCAAACATAAATCGTCAGTCAACGTATAAACAGGTTGCATGTCGGTGGCTTCGTCAAAATCCGACTAAATGGAAAAGTTGGACAGTGGATTGGGACAAAAAGTTGAACTTAACAGTAGCTGGCCTGTTCAGTATGTATGGAAAATGGGTACTTTATGGTCTTGATCGAGGTCAGTTATTTTAATAAGTTGTGTTCTTGTAGTATGAATATTGTCTTATAAACAGGGTTTCTAAAAACACAACAAAATATTGTAATTGCTTGCAAGGAATTTGCAATTGTAGATTCTATGCATGTTACAATTACGCAATTATTTTATGAATGACGAGAACATCTTGACGATATATTCTTAGTGTGATACCAAACGAGACTGTTTTCAATCTTAAAGGAATGGATAATTTTTCTTTGTTACTCATATAAATTGTCTCAGTATAAACATTCGTTCTTATTAGCATGTGTTTGTTTGTTTGTTTCATTGCACTTATATTATTTGCGTCTCCTTCCAATAGACTTATGCTGATATTTGTTTTAATCTTTAATTTCATTTCATAACTAACCAGTGGCTCAAGAAGCTATGAATTTTGTCAACGCCGACTCAGATTACTTTCGTAATTCTGAATATGCATTAAGTTTGGATATACGTAATTTAACCTGTGAACCTGATGTGGTGTTAAGTGATTACTTCAAAGTATTGGAAAATGCTGTCAATACTCGATTGATTGGTTCAATAGGTAAGATATAATTACTCATTTTTGAGTTGTTCTTGATTTTTTTTTTGCTGAAAATGTTGTTAACTGTATTGGGATTCTAAATAATTAATCCTCTATGGGTTCAGATAAATCTGTGAACTAGATGTATTTCATGTCCGGTGTTTAAATAGATTTGCAAATATAAAGCTTATGTTCCTTGATTGTCTTGTTCCTAAACACAAAACTTGGTTTTCATTAGAGTTAATTTGCGGTTAGCAAGGGGATTCAGGACATGTTTTTCGTCGTATTCGAGATTCACACATTATGATTCTAACTCAGTAACTTTAAATTCCAATGCCAATATATTCACAACTGTTATCAGAATTTTTAACTTGGTGTGGTGTTCATCAGGGCTGTCCACTTTCTCCATTATTGTGTCTGTCAATAAAGGTGTACTGAAGAATTTAAATAACATTGTACAGACTCCACTCAAGCATTACTGGTTGAGTGAGAGCTAACGGTGAACTGTCATCAGAACTGTTAACTTGATGTGGTGTTCGTCAGGGCTGTCCACTCTCTCCATTCTTGCTTAACTTTGTCGTAAACATCCTTTTAGAGTTAACACTATCATCGTCTGACTCTTCAGGAGTGCACCCTTTACCAGGAGACACGCTTGCTGACTTCGAATATTCTGATGACATAGTCCTACTTGGTGGAGATGCTGACAAAATGCACAGTCTTCTGACCACCCTAAGCAACAATCCTAGCATGTTTGGGATGCGATTTTCTCCGTCGATATGCGAAATGTTGCTTAAGGATTGACTTGCAATGGCACCTCAACTAGTGATAGGGAGTGAAGCAGTCGAGCGTGTTGACTGCTTCACTCATCAGTGTTGATGGCCTGGTGACTGACGAAATCTCAGCACGGATACAGAAGTTTAGATTGGCTTTTGTCAACTTGAGTCACTTGTGGTGTAAGCGAGGTATCCGTCTGCTAACCAAAGGACGAGTGTACTGTGTAGCAGTTCGCTCCGTCCTACTATATGGTTGTGAAACATGGCCGGCAGGAGTAGAAGACATTCGTTGGTTGCTGGTTCTCGATCATAGGTGTCTCCGAAGCATTGCTCTTGTATTCTGTAACAACCGAGTATGCAGAGCTGTCGTTAGGGCCCGCGAGATGATAATAATCGATGGTTGGAGACCTTGAATCACATAGCTCAAAATCATTTACAATGGAGCAGGTTCATCCATTTTCTGTGTTCTCTCAAATCCTAATCTTCTGGATTCTTAATCACATTTACCTTTTTAAGTTTATTTCACTAGATTATACTTTTTTAATAAAATCGTCAAACCCTAATCTTCCCAACTGTTGCTAATACTTATACTATTTCTAACAGTATGGGATTTGATCTGACAGTTGCGTCTTTGTGGTATGGCAACCTGGACTGAAGTACGTGTGTATGTACGAATTTCTACGTTGTTACTGACACTGACAGTCTAAATATGTTTTATTTAGTGTAAATTATAAGTATTTCTTTTCCTTCGTCGAGTGCTTTAAGAAACCACTTATTCTTTTCAGAAGTATCCGTCTTTTATTCTTTATAATTACGGTTCTTTTTCTTCGTATTCTGTGAGAACTCACCTAACAGTTGATCCCATTTCTTTATCGGCAATTAGGCTAACTCTCATTTGGTAAATAACCTTTGAGACTAGAGCTGCCCGCCCCTATGTGGCCAGTCAAATGCCGGAAGAAAAACCCGAATCGTTTACTTCATTAAGTATCAAAATATACCGGAAACCCTGTGTATTTATGGTTTTTCGTATAGAATGAATACATAATCCTCCAATATGCAGACAGCAAGGTTACACAATTGTCCATTCGTTGATGCCCCTTTGATATCCTAGAAATCCTATCAAGTTGTGACAGGATGTAATGTTTTCGGTTTCTTGAAAGTCTAGAGGTTTCATCGCACTTTCTGGCAGCAACCCCAACAATATGTTTCCCTTTTTTTACGTTTTGAATTTTACCAACAGTGTTTCCTGTCCATTTTTTTAATATATGATCTATCTACCTTTTTTGGTTAGCTGCTATATGCTCCGATTCTATAGAAGCTGTAGTTGAGTTGGCAAATATTCGCAAACAGATTATTGTTAGTCCAACTGTGGGTAGTGCACGTTTTCTGGAACAACAACAATATCATTACTTCTTTCGTACAGTACCATCAATGACTTTGGCAAAGTAAGTGATCATAACACTTCTAAATTTCATTCAAATATTTCTTTTTAACTCTGAAAGTTAAGTTTCTGACCATATAATTTTGAATAAATAGATTCTGAACAAAACGATTTGTCACATTTGAGAAATAGATAATCATTAGCATAAGCGTTGAGTAATTGTAAGTGCTGTTAAGTTGCAGTGAAGCAGATGTGTAAATAACAATCAGGACTTATAAGTAGAGAAAAAAACCATTTTTATGATAATAACAATGGTAAAATATAGTTTGATAAAAATATTTTATAAAAGCAAGCGTCAAATTAGAAGGAAATTATGGCTATAGTAAAAGTAGGGATATAACAAAATGTTTTTTTTTATACACAGCTGATAGTTTAAATAACAATCCAGGTGTACACTTGTAATTCAAATGTCTAGCTGCTTGTTCTTGGTGGAAAAATATGATTAAAATCCATTATTCCATGATATTTCTTTAGATTAGAATGATTTGTATCGTTTTTTGGTCTGTTTCTGTCTTTTTCAGTTTTATACTACTTCGATTATTTCTAGTATGGGGTTGGCATCGAATAGTTGTATTTCGTAAATCAGATCATTTTTTTGAACCTTTATTATTTCAAGCGAAAGGAATTGAAATTATAGCTAACATTGAAATGGATGAACAACAATTAACTTATAAACTTGCAAAAGATGTGAGTATAATATTTCTTATGTTGTTCTGTTTCCTTGCCTCGACAAAATTTAACTTCATCCACTGGGTGCTTGTGTATAAACCACTTGAAAACTGGTGATACTATTCGGTTACCCAGACTGAAGCAGAGCGAGCAGGATTCGGACCTGGAATTTAGTAATTGGAAGTCAAATGTACATACACCTTTACTTAGAATGAGCATTGGATTGAAAATAACTATATTTTGTTCAGCTGATAGTAGTACACTAAACTGTTAGTTCGTCTACAAGTGATTTGAAATGTATTTAACTTTTTTATTTTATTCACTCTACTTTCTAACTTACTGGTGCGGATTACGCCAATTTGAACATATATTCATATATATCTGTTGAATTCAATGTTATTTGAATAGAGAATACCACTTTTCTTTCTTTGTATATTTTATCAAGTCATTTTTTTATGATTTGTTTATCTTACAGACTTTAGAAGAATTGAAGCAACAGAATAGTCGTATATTCGTTGTCGAATATGATGCACGTGGTACTTATTTGATACTCTGTGCAGCATATCATGAAGGGATGCATTTTTCTGCTGGATACGTTTGGTTTTTGAATCCATGGCTTTCTGATCAGTGGTGGTCTGGATTAGTTGATCGAAATACTGAGTGTAATTTTAATGAAATGCTCAATATTACTTCATGGACTTTCACTGTTGGACACCAATTGTTAATTGGTCCTATGGTGCACAGTTTTATTCCACGTACTAGTGAGTTTATGGATTCAGATTCAGGAAATAATTCAAGTGGTTCATCGAACAAAACTTCTCCATCTGAGCAAACAAGGCGTAGACGCCATGTTGGTGTTCAATCACAAACGTTGGAAGTACCATCTGTTTTATCAAGAACTAAACATAACCCTAATCCAAATGATTTTGGGAAATCTACATTCAGCGATCACTCAAAACGTAAATTAATCAAAGATCCTCTTCACGATTACACAGTGTACACTTATGATGCTGTCATCTTGCTAGCGAGTGCTGTTGTTCATCTTTTAAGAGACAATCCTGCTGCTGCATCTGCTCTAAATCATCCAGATGTATCTGAAACTCTCCGAACACTTGTCGCTCGTACCAATTTTGGTTATCGATTCCAGACGGGCGATTCAGCAACTGGACAGTCTAATGAAATGGATGGACCTGTTGCAGGTATCAATGATGATAATTTCGGTATGGATGCTGGATTTCAACTTGCTGGTGACTATTACGGTATACGCAGTCAAAGTCCTGCTTCAGCATCAAATTTACGATTTAATGATCACAATGAACGTATTGCTGATTATTGGTTATTAAAACAAAGACATTTAAATACTACTGTACCTATTATAATGTGGTCAACAAAAAGTTATGAAGAGGTGCATGAACAAGATCAACAACATCAGTCGTATGATCCATTTAACCATATGGTCTCATCAAATAATGTGTCAAATAAGTATGATTGGAAAACAACCAATGCTCCATTTCTTTATGATGAATTCCAAAAGCGAATGACTGAACGTTGGTTAGATCATGTTAATTGGCATACCTTAGGTGGTCCACCGAATGATGGTTCTATTAATGAAGAAAATTGCACGTTATCATTTCTTAGTAATCAATTACATATGGGTTGTACAGGTGCCACTGTATTTGTAACTGTAACTGTTACTGTTGTAGTTCTATTTCCATTGATTATATTTGCTCATTTTTATTATCGACGTAAATTGAAAGAAATTGAAAATCGAACACGAAAACCTTTTGAAGAATTATGTGCAGAACTAGCTGATTTGGATGTAAGTTACGTGCTTTTGTAGATTTATCTGCGTTACAACCAACTGTTCTCTTAATACTAGATGCAATTATAATACCTCGTTTTTTACTTCAATAGTAAACCTATATACATACGCTTCCTTCTGTTTTATTTCACTTGCAATTAAGCGTTTAACAAAAATGCAATAATTGTTCTCAGAATAATGGATATGAAGGTTTTCCTACCATCAAAAATCATCTATGCTATTAAAACACATTCTGTGGTGTTAAGTAGTTAGAGGTAGTTGCCAGAAAACTCTGGAACTGTTTCGTGCTGACTCATACTCGTCAGTAAAGCGTACCTGTCAGATCCACACCCTCGTTGTTCATGTTCACAGTTTGATGCGTTACCCGCGAACCGTCCAAGCCAAATCTAAATTCCTTTGTGATTAACGCATTCACATTGGTTGGTCCCTGAGTAGCGACGGACGTCACGTGTGCCTAGTCCTTAGTGCTGATCACATTTTATAGGTAGTATTGCATTGTAAATGCATATCTAAAAGATTTGAAAAAATTCTGGTACTACTACTTTTTATGACTGCGGATACAGGTCTGTAATGTGTGATACTGTATGATGAAAGAAAGATTGATATTTGTGGACTCAAGGAAAAGAAGTCGGACTTCAAACAATAAGTTTATGATGCACCAACTGTAAAATAACAACTGGTCGAAAAGATACCAAGTCAACAGGATATCCTGAACCTAGATAACCCGCTTTCGAATCCATCAGGAAGAATCGATTTTACTAAATATAGTAGGTGCGCTCCGCGGACTTGCACATAACCTATATTCTGGATACTCTGTCAGCTTTTCTCAACCGTTTAACACAGTATTTTACCTGATTTCAAGTTCAGACGATTAGTGATTAAAATACCACACTATCGATAGAATATGATCAACACTAAAGAACAGACAGGCATGAGAATGGCTGCTTCTCAGTGATCGACCAATGTCAACGTTCAGTAGTATGCGGCTGTCCTGTTGGGCAATTGATTATTTAAGTTACAGATCTGTCGGCGTGTAAGTTGTTCTCCTAATTCCTGCCTTTATGTGCAGAATTTCCTACTTTTACGTTCTGTTCACTTGAATGTTTCTTTTATTCATGAAAGGGAGCAGAACTTTTATAAACTACGGCTGTAATGATAGTCAAAATGGAAATAATATTTGCAATTTCATTCTTTCGTTTTATATTTTTCAATGTCATTTTATAAGATGCCTGCTGAAAATATTGTTTTGAATCGTCGAGTCGGTCAAGGTGCTTTCGGTTTAGTGTTCGGTGGTGAAGCTAAAAAGAATGATTTATGGGAAGCAGTTGCTGTAAAAGTGATTAATGAGAAAGCAACGTATGAAGGGAAAATCGATTTTCTTTCTGAAGCAAAATTAATGCGTTCTTTAAATCATCCAAATGTTGTTCGTTTAATTGGTATTTCTTTAAATCCTAAAGCAAGTCTATACTTGATCATGGAACTCATGCTTCTTGGTGATTTGAAAACCTATTTATTATCCCGTCGAATTTTAGCTCAAAGGTAAACGTACATTTTATTGGTCTGATTGTGTCATATTCATTGGAATAATAGTTGTTCGGAAATCATGGATATATTTAATTTTTAATAAGCTTATGATTCACTATAGTATTATCTTTTAAAAGATAGAAATTGTGCAAACTAAGCTAAACAATATATGTTAGTGGAATTATCTTAAAGATAAGTAGTGGATCGGAAAACGTTCTTTTGAATAATATGTTACATTTATATTCACGTAATTTAATCAGTTATTTTAAGTGTCTTTTCAATAGTTATTCATCTAAGATTCGCTTGCCAATTTGTTTAACTGGGAGCTGTTTTTCCTATTGACATAAGGTGTGACAGAGCAACTAAGAACTCACCAAGTCGAAGAAAAGACAATGAATCCATGGGTAATTCCTTCCTGATACCTATTTACTTGTATCACTAAAATAATGATCTGTTGTTAAAACTAATTGTCAATGTTCAAAATACTTTTTAAGTAAACCACTGAAAAAGGCTATGAAATTGTCTTTAAAATGGTGAAATAGTACAGCGAATGTACATTATCATCAAATCTATAAAAGATTGTATCATATTAAAAATTTCCATATTGTGATTCAGAACAACACATATAAAAACGAACAACATTGTTTTCAATTAGATCTTCGTCTAATATACCTACATAATTATATACCTATATGCAATTATTAAACCAATCAAGGGAATTTATGAGTCAGTGATAATGGTGGATTAAAAAGTACGAGTCGATAGTGTTATGACAGGTGTACTAGTTACGATAAGGATAGTAATGTTTGATTATCGGGAGTAGGTCATACGGCTTAGAAAACTAGACGTTGGAAAACATTCATTAGAACTGTAGGTTACGACATAAATGTTCAGATAAGTGAATGGTAAGGCGTATACTTAAAGAGAAAGAAAACTGAATGGTGAAGAACATTAAGCGAACAGAAAAAGCGTATAGAAAATAATAATAATAAAACACTGCTTTTGTGATTGCTGAAGTTAACTCTTTGTACTCTTTTAGTTAGCTTAGCATTCAAGTCAAGTCGGTTACAACGTAGAAATTCGTACATACACACACATCAGTTCTGGTTGCCATACCACATTAACAATGAGATGCAACTGTCAGATCAAATCCCATAGTGTTAGAAATAGTAGAAGTATTAGTAGTAATGAAGAAGATTAGGTTTCGAAGATATGATTCGAGAAGTATAATCTAGTGAAATAAACTTAAAAATAAAAAAGTAAATGTGATGAAGAATCCAGAGGATTAGGATTTGAGAGAACACAAAGAATGAATGAACCTGCTCGATTGTTTGAGTTATGTGATTCAAGGTCTCGATTATTATCATTTCGCGGGTCCCAAACAGGTAGCCTGCACCTACCAACATGACTCGGCCTACTTATCAGTGACTTCCTGGAATTGTGCCATGTTTTAGTCTGGACGCCCCTAGCTTTATTTCAACCTACTCCTACACCACAAAACATATCTCGTCGAAATAGTCGGCAGTTGGGCGTACATAACACATGTCCTAACCACCTCAACTGATGAAGTTTCAGTACTTCATTTATTGATGTGCCACCTTTACACAAGACCCTTTTCCTAACGACATCATTGCATACTCGATTGTCACGAGCAATGCTTTGGAGACGCCTATGATCGAGAACCTGCAACCAACGAATGTCTTCTACTCCTGTCGACCATGTTTCACAACCATATAGTAGGACGGAGTGAACGGCTACACAGTAGATTCATCCTTTGGTTAGCAGACGGATAACTCGCTTACACCACAAGTGACTCAAGTTGACAAAAGCCAATCTAAACTTCTGTATCGGTGATGAGATCTCCTCAGTCACTAGGCCATCAACATTGATGAGTGAAGCGGTCAACACGCTCGACCGCTTCACTCCCTATCACTAGTTGAGGTGCCATTGCAAGTCAATCCTCAAGCAACATTTCGCATATCGACGGAGAAAATCGCATCCCAAACATGCTATCATTGTTGCTTAGGGTGGTCAGAAGACTGTGCATTTTGTCAGCATCTCCACCAAGTAGGACTATGTCATCAGAATATTCGAAGTCAGCAAGCGTGTCTCCTGGTAAAGGGTGCACTCCTGAAGAGTCAGACGATGACAATGTTAACTCTAAAGGGATGTTTACGACAAAGTTATGCAAGAATGGGGAGAGTGGACAGCCCTGACGAACACCACATCGAGTTAACAGTTCTGATGACAGTTGGCCATTAGCTCTCACTCAACCAGTAATGCCTGAGTGGAGTCTGTACAATGTTATTTAAATTCTTCGGTACACCTTTATTGACAGGCCCTGCCACAGAACCTCACGGTCAACAAAGTCGAATGCCGCTTTAAGCTCTTTGTGGGACGTCTCAACATGTGTCGATGTTCTAGGACCTAACGTAGTGCGCATTAGTCATGTTATTTGCACAGCTTTATCTTGTTTTTGTGAATAGCTGGTTGAGATTACTGTTATTGACTGTAAACATTAATACTGTGTTATTTCCTAAAACCATTTTATATTCATTTTAGGTTAGAATTCAGTAATGATGTAAGACTTTTCCTTATTACTATATTATTTTTTCTCGACAGTTTTCTTTCAAATGTATGCCTTCAATTCACATTCGAGTTTTCTGTCAGTGGTAGTCATTAATGTAGCAGAGGATTTCTTTACAAAATTTTTAGATATCCTTTATTTGCATCCTGGAAATGGTGAAAAGTCTATTTCTAAGTATATGAAAATTTGTGGTGCCTTAAGCAGATTGTTTGGAACTTCGTGACCTTATCGACTTATTAGCTAACATAATGAGTATACGGATAATTTATTGTTTGATTGCTTTTGTATTTCTTTTTTCCACTTTTTTGGTTCTGAATTTATTCTAGATCACCGAACCATGAAGATATACGACCATCAACTCTCACACAGATGAGTATGGATATTGGTCAAGGTGTAGCCTACCTACATAGTAAACATTTAATTCACCGTGATATAGCATGTCGAAATTGTCTTGTTGCTGCAGATCGTACCGTGAAAATCGGGGATTTCGGTCTCACTAGACAAGCAGCTAAAAATACTTCTGAGGTTTACTATCGTTTCACAAGAAATTGTGAGTTGTTTTTGATATACTATGTGTCAATAATTTTGCTTGTATTCCTTGTTATAGATTAATGTGAAGATTTTTGTCATGCATCCGATATTGCTGACAGTTTTGTGAATTTAATAAAACTTAATTACTTCTTTTTTAAATTACATTCATGTTTTGTAATTTCTTATCCTCACTCATAGTTGAGAAGGCAAACACCTACCCAAGCTTTAAATCCATACCATGATCTGTCGTTACATATTTATGCTAGTCTTTTTTAAACTTATATAGGGCCAAACACTCATATGACCTTTAAATATGTGATTATAGTTGTGTTAATTAAGCTGTGTTTAGTCACAATCATCTATCGTCATAGGGTTTTCAAGATTGTTTGGCTTCATTGATTAGTGTCCCAACATGGGACTCATCAACAATACGCATCCATTAATTATTAACTTTCATTCATTTTCAACTTTTTATGTATGTATAAGTGTGTGTATAATAATCATGAAAACAGGTAGAGGAGAATAATAACTGATTCTGGTTTAAAGATTTTAATAATAATAAAAACAAAACAAACATACTACAGACAGAGATTAGGGCAAGGGAAGTATGAGTGGTTAGACATATCGTTTCTGTATGCAGAGTTCGGGATTTTATAGATGGATTGCCAACTGTCAGCAGTGCATACGTTTCCGATCCAGTTCTTTTGCCTGTATATATTAGTCTGAAGGACAACTCCTTAGGGGCAATATGTTCAGAGTTGATCAGATGCCCTTGTATTGAGCTAGTGATCGATTTACACTCACCTTCTAATACCCAACCTGAGATGCTTTTGGAAAGTGATGGCTTCTTGTGGTAAACATAACCTGCCCCGTCAGTGCAACCTAAAACGGAGTTTTATCTTTAACACGTTCGTCTATGGTATGTTGGTTACCATATGAAGGATGGCTGAATAGGTTTTATTTAATCATTGTAAAGTCTTTATTTAGGATTTTGGCACCCGTATCACCTCTGAATTCAGTACTCATAAAGAGTTTTCTTTTGAACCGTCTGTGCTCTTTCAGGATATAATCTTAGTGCTCAGTTCCTTTCGACGAATCTAGGTCAATAGCCATTTTTGATGCGTACCTGTCGAAGAAAAAATAGTTTATCATCTAATGTGTCATATCTGACATTTAAATTATAATTACCCCCTATTCTCCTAACCCCTGGATTATTGCATAACTTCCTTTTGATATTTGAAATCTCAGGTCACTCTATGATGCGATCTCTCCTGTCTTTTATGGAATTTATATTTATCATACAAATATAAATACCAATATACAGCTTAAGTAATATGTAATATGGTGGCACTTATGACCGTTTTGTTGAAGGCACATATATTTGCGAATCTCTCACTATTTTCGTTCCTTTTTCCCAGTCGATGTCGTCTCATTGATGTTTACGCATCCATTTCAACATTGGCGTTTAGATCTCTCATCAGAGTGGTCAAATCCTTCGCTGATCATTGAATACACCTTCTCATAGAATTGATCTTTGTTATCCCCATTGTTATCGTTGGTGAGCGCATACCACTGAATTATATTCGTTGTAAAATCCTCTTTGGTTTGAAGGGTGCTTTGATGATCCTGGGTCTATGATATTCCCATCCTCTAAGTACTCCTTGTGTTTCTTTGTGCAGCATCAGCGTAACTGTTTGTGTATGTAGAGCATTTTAATCTTCATAGCCCGAAGTACAACAGCATATCTCCTGAAGCTAATCTTTTTTGTCCAACCTGATTCCAATGTGCTTAACTTAGTCCAAGTACCACCAGGTTGTATCTTCATTTCTGCAGAAACTTGAATAGTTCTGCCAGTCTCTCAAACTGCGCGGACACCTATATAAATTTTTACTTTGATTCTAAGAAGTGGCATTGGCCTCATGACTTCTGAAGAAACTTGGCTTTCATCATGTTCATGCTGACCCTTATTTGTGCCACGCTCTTTATTCATAAATTTTGGAATGAAAAACTCATAAATATTAGTAAATTGTATCTCTAGGTCAAACATCATGATGTCTATTCTGGATATTAGTCATCCTCCTTTAAGCTTTTCAACTGCTACCTCTCATCCTACAATTTAATCTTTTTTACATGAAACTATGCCTGGCAATGTTTTTTATCATCTCAGTAATTTTATTTTATATATATTCTCTCTTAGGAATCTAATTTAGCCTGCATAACCTTCTTGTTTACCTGATTTACCAAAACATGGAACCATATTATTTATCTTTATTTTTTAGCTTATTTATTTGTTAGTTTTAGTTTTGCAAATACTTTTCATGATATTCATGAAATTCTACTGTACAATAATAACAATACTTCAAATTGTAGGTGAACTGCCTATTCGTTGGATGTCACCTGAAGCTGTACAATTCGGTGTTTTTAGTATACAATCTGATATTTGGTCATTTGGTATAACACTATATGAAATTATTACTTTTGGTGTATTTCCTTACAATGGTCTTGGAGATGTAGAAGTTGTGGAACGTGTCAAGCGTATGGAATTTAGTATTACTGAATTTTTACCACCCCAAGCGTTAAATACCGTCGTGTATGTTTATTCATATTTCTATTATAGTCAGTATATATATATATATTCTTTATCAGCATTCCAAATCTAAAGTCAGTTTAACTATGGAATTGTTTGTAAGATGTTTCTTACAAACATCTTTCAAATGGTCATTCAGATTTCATAAACGCATCTCAAAAATATCCATTTAATACACATCGTCTCAAAAAATGACAAAAAATGAATTAGAACTGTTACACAACAATCAATATGTAAAATATTATTCATATTTGTTATCAGCTGTAATCATGATTACTTTTACTGTTATTTTTCATAGCATAAATCATTGTGATTTTTTTACTCCATTCTTAATGATGATTAAATTTTTACTTTAGCAGCTGTTTTCAACAACTATAATTTAGAACATTATTCATTCATGAATATTGGTTTACTTAAGCTCCCAGCACCTTTTTAACTCGTATTTTATGATATTCAAACTAACACAACTCACCTTTACTTCAACTTAGTTTTACGTAAATGTTTTAACCCAAAGTTAACTAACTTCAATGTATTATACTGGTTTCCAGTATCTTGGTCCACTAGAAAAATGTGTAACGAAACGACTGGCAAGTCATCAAAACAATGCACTAGCAATAATACTGATAACGGTTTATCACTTAGATTATGATTTGAAAAGAAAGAATGAAACTGAATGTATGAAAATATTCAGGAAGCTATCAAGTGATGTTAATCGCTACACCACTGAGTTGCCAATTCTGTATCATTAAATTTCTGTCCCGTGTAATGTATTTGTTTAATCTCATTTACCCCAACATTGTGGCGTGATTTTTTTCCTTAAGTTTTCTTTTCACGTCAACTATTTTGTTTTAATCTACTTTTAATTTTACAATAACTGTATGCATCATGATTATTCTTTAAGGTGTGAATTGATTAATCACTGTTGTAAACATCAATGGCAACATAGACCATCATCGATGAATCAAGTCTTGGAAGTATTAGTAGCGTATCCTGATTGTATTCGACCATTCCTTACAGATGATCCACCTAAACCCAATACAACAATGGATTCGTTACCCGTATGTTAATACAATTTCATATTATCAGTTATAATTTTGAATTATCTTAATATCAATGAAATGTGGTTGTCTAAGAGAATTTGCATAATTCACGAAATCGTTTTTACTTTACTATCTAACACTGTGGACATGAAAACTATTCAAAACTGCGGACACAAACTAGTTGTCCCATATTTTGGCTTGAATCTTATCATACACATATCAAGACATGAAGACTGTATGTACATGCTGCGAGGTTAGTACTTACGAGATCGAGAGTACAGAAAGCAAATATCTGGCTATTTAATTGAGTTAGTTTGTACGGAGAATCTACCTAGGAGAGTTGTTAAACCCTGATTCCAAACTAATGTTGCAGATGGGCTCCAGGGTCCTGCGTGAACAAAAGGCGTATTAACTAGCTGTTGGTCACCGGCTACTATGAGACTGCATTTCCTAATGTTGCTTCACTACTACTGTGTAACACTTAGTTTTAAGTTGAAATTGGATTTAACAAGTGTTGTTGTTGTTGTTGTTACAGACACTACACTGCTTCAAATAAGTATGTGTACATGTCATATTAGTAAACATTTTCAATAATTGTATATGTTTTGTATGCTGATTACTGTACAGTTAGTATTTTTGAGACTCGTTAAAATTTAATCTCTTTAGTCAATGGGAAATATGATTATCATAATTTAGAAAATCTTTAAAAGCTTTTTCGGAGATGCTCTAGTCTGTTTCATCTGTTTCATCAAGTATATTTCTGTGTCTAAATGATGACTATCCAGTTTACTATGTTTAGGAGAATTTTAAATCTCGTCTATATCCGCGATATCACTTCACGAATATTGGTCTTAACAGTAATAACCTCATTTAGACACAGAAAAATTCTCATCCTTTTCGAGACATTTTCTTTCCGTCCCTCGATATGATGTAATCAATTGAGTTGGTGTAAAACGTCTTATTTTACATTTGCATTTTGTTTTATCTTTATTTTTTCATTAGTTTCAACCAACGGTAGGCACATGTATAATATCAGAATCTGCAATGACTGGTCTTGCTGCAGTCGATAGTTTTGGTGGTTTTCGTACAGTGCGTAGCGCTTCGACTGCAGCCGTCCCAATATCATCATGTTCACCTTCACCAGTCCCACTAAATTTTCCTGATGCTAATGGTGATAAATATTATGGACGTGAAAAACGTCTCAGTGAACAAGCAAATCTACGTGACAGTGCACTGTTCAGTCATCATACAATTTTTGATTGGCCTGATAACTATACTTCTCATCCATATACAGATAATTCAGTTCACTCGAAATTGGTTGAATCTTATCAACTTCCTATGTTTTGTGACAGACAATCGTTATTCCAGTCAGTAGTGACAGATGAAAGTAAAGAACCAAATGTTGTGGATAGATCAGGTGAATCGTCCAGTGTACCACCAGTATTTGATACTTATACTACATCGTTTGTTACACCTAATTCTAATACCACTAATAAATCTACCAATGTTTTGTTCAATCTCTCAACAAGTCCTATTTCTAAAACTCCTAGTTATCAATCAGTCAATGAAAATACTCAATTATTTATGAAATCTCCTGAACTAACAACCGGTCAATATACATATTCAACTGGGAATACTTTAAATATACGAAAACAAAAACGTTCAAATATTACAATTATAAACAATTCAAAGTCGGATATTCCAGATGAATTGAATAGTTTATTATCTAATGATCAACTCAAGTAGGTTTAAATGCATAGTTTATTTTAATATTATTATAAAATGCAATAGTTTAACGGTTCTTTGAAATGACTATATAGTGTGTGACAAATGATTCCCGATTTAATGAGCGAACTATGTATGATTTAGTGATATGAAACAATCAAACTTTAGATGTCCTTGACCTATATCCACTCACGCACATTAAAAAAAAAAAATTTGGTCTTTTGTAAAAAATCGTTTATTGTTTCTAAAAAAAAAGCAGCAGTATAATGCAGTTCGTTCATATTTTTAACCTATGGTTAACCTGGAAATACACAAAAACAAAACAACGTTTTCAGTCTTAAAGCAACTACCAACTAAAATATAAACATCAATGTTGAAAGTATGAATTCTCAGCGGATACAGGAATATCGGTGCTCAACATCAAAAATTTAAATTATGAAACAAATTCAGGCTTTTTTGAAGATGCCTAGCGGGCTATAAATGCGTTTAGCTGTGAAACATAACTTTTTTTCTAATACACGTAGCACAAATGGTTAATGTTGTGGTTATGTCTAATTTTTCTGGCTATTACTATCAAAAACATTACTCCATGCTATTTTCAATACTGTTACGCCATTACATCCTGATGAAAAGTTCCAAGTTGAAAAGATATGCGTATCCTGAGTCTCATTGCTAACTAACCATCTTGTTACATAATGGCTCTGTTGAGCCTATTCAAACAGGCCCCAGTCATCCCAAAGAAGACTTGTTAGACCTCATTAATAAGATTATGTACCAGTTTAGCTGACTGTTGAACATTATTTACCGGACTCTCCACTAGGTCATATCATTTGATTCATACTTATCCGTAGCTTCACGCTGCTAATCATAAAACAAAAAATATATTGTTTCCTCAGTCTTGTCATTTAGAAGAAATTATTTTCGCCTACTGACGTCATTATTAATCAGTTTTTGTGAGTTAATATATCCATCCTTTTTGCGACATCTCTTTTCACATTGTCTTTATCTAATGGTATAAATTGTTTGGAAAAGACAACTGTCACCCTCTGTCTTCAACTAAAGCTAGTTTTGCTTGAGTTGACTAAAAGCGTAGGTTGTGCATTCTGATTCGATACACAACACCAGCTAAAAGTTCATCGTGTGAACATGGTTCTCAAAATTAGTATAAATGAAAATAACAAGTTCTTTTGATGATTTCATCTTGAACGGCATATTATGACGCAAATCACTAGATCATCTCTAAATTTTATTAGTACGTTGTATTTAAGTGTTTATGCGTAAAACACTTTTCTAGTATCATTGTACAATTCATTCTTTTGTAATGTGATTAAGGTTGTTAAAAATACGTAACGCTTAGAAGACTAAGTGTTTTCTCAATCTTCCCTATTCATGTACATATATATTTACACCAAATTTAATAGTTGCATGTATAAGATCTGTAATAAGTATCATGAAATAACTACAATAATACAGAAGTAAACGTTACACTGAGTGTTCATTCAAGCTAATTCATTATCATAGTTTCAATAAATGGTGGTGAAAAAAATATCATATACCACCGGCCCTGAGTTAATCTATTCAAGTCAAGATGCCTGATAAATTTTTGCTCAAAATGTAAAGTTCAGTGATAGACAGCCTACTTGTATGTGATTATTAATAATAGTAATAGTTGACAATACTTGATCTTTTCAATGCTTGAAATCATTAAGACCTTGTATTATGCAAGGGAACAGTGAATTGAAGATGATACTGAAGCTGCATAGAGAAATATACCTGTTCCGATGATATATTGTGTGTTGAGGTATTCACTGTGACTTAGTGCATAATCAAGGATGTTTAATTGTAGTCAATAGTATTTCCTCCCTTGCCCCTAACTTTTATTCTAAATGTGAACTGTAAGTTTGTTGATTTTGTGAACATTGGTTTTTCTTAATTTTACAGGTCATCTGTAGATGCTGACTCGATTATGAATATAGAAGAATCAGAAAAACCACATATGTTGATAACTGAGAATAAAAATTCAGATAAACAATTTTTTATTGTTCCTAGAAACGAATCCTCCATGTCGAGTGTTTCCAGCATCCCCCGAAATCCTATTCATTCACGTAATTTCAATCGTTTGCGACCCACTTGTTCTCTGATCAACTTGATCTCATCACGTTATCCCAAACATCACTTACAGAGTAATATTAAATCTAAGCACTGTGTTTCAGTTGATCATTTCAGTTCGATTAAATCACATAGTAATATTCATGTTGGTAATTTAATTTTGCCTCCTACTTTATTTACTTTCAATTCTGATTCATTTATTTCCCGGAGAAAGTAACTGATCTTGTGTTTACTTAAAATTCTGCTTAGGTTTTATTATTTGTTAACTGTCATACTATCAATGATATATTCTACTGAACCAGTAGTTATGTTTACACAACTCATGTATTTGCATTTAAGCAAACTAATTATTTGCTCCAGTTTTTTTGTGTTATTGATACTACTGGAATTTTGTTTTGGGATTCAATGCCTATTCATCCCGTTGTGTATTATGCCTAATAATCAAATTTATCTACTCCGACTAGTTCCCGAAACATTATTATCATGATTATTTCTGTCGTTGTTTTGTTTACCAAATGCACAACCGTCGATCATCAACTACAATTTATTTTCATGGGATCTCGTTATTTTCTTTTCCAACTTGTTTTCTTTTATTACTGTTATTATTATTATTATTATTATTATTATTCAATTTCACAGTAAAATGCATATGGTTGTAAATATTTTTCTCTTCTTATTATTCGCTAACCTAGTCTAACCAACTGATTTTGTTTATTTGTTCTATAAATTCTATAAATACTATGGAATTGTAAATTCAATTTTAAACGTGAAATAGAAATGGTAATTTATTTTCTTTCTCTATGATGTGTGTATTTCATGACTGTTGGAACAATTACATTTCGATACATGCCTTGCTTCCAAAATAAATTGATGTTATCAGTTGTATTGTAAAAACAGCTTTATAATGTGTACATTGTTATGTATATATTTGTTTTGCTTTGTAAGATAAATGACTAACTAACTAACTTTGAAGTTTAAATTTCCTTTCCTCATTTCTTGTTGAAACTTCTGTGCTTGTTTCCAGTTCTCAACAGGTAATTTGTTTATTTAGAACTTTATTATGTTATGCATTGTTAGTCAGTCAGTCAGTGACAACATAGAACTTCGTATGTGTTTACATCAGTTCAGGTTGCCATACCACATTAGCACACAGACGCAATCTTCACTTCATATTCCATGGTGTTAGAGATAGTAGAAGTATTAGCAGTAGTCGGAAAGATTAGGGTTCGATTATATTATTCAAGAACTATAATGTAGTGAAACAAGCATAAAAAGAAAAAGATATAGGTGATGAAGAATCCAAAGGATTAGGATTTAAGAGAACACAGAGAATGAATCCACCTGCACCATTGCAAACGATTTTGAGCCATGTCGTTCAAGGTCTCTAGCCATTGGTGACTTTCGTCTGGCGGTCCCCAACCAGGTAGTCATATTGGTAGGTGTCGACTCAGTCCATTTGATAGTGACTTCATGGATTTGTGCCATGTTTTAGTTTTGCCGCCCCTAGCTTTCTTCTAACCTATTCCTACACCGCAACACATGACTTGACGAAGCAATCGATGGTTAGGCATACACAACACATTTCCCATCCTATGCGTTGTCACATGTGTGTGCAATTGCTTTTTATCTTATGTCGTGTATTGTATTTTCATGACCGTAATAAATCCGAAAGTCCTAAATCACGTTTTCGATTCTGTTTATTTACTTTTGAATTGATATCACTAAATAACTTAGTTAGTTGTTTATTATTGAACACAAGCGTATTTAGAGCTAAGTCCCGTAGAATAACAAAGAGTTGGCTTAATGTTATTTTTCTTTTGTCACATCAGTTCAGTTAATTAAAATGTTTTAAAATTAGTACGGCATCAATGTATCCTTAGCTATCTCTGTTTTATAACTAAACAAATGCTACATTTTCGTTATGTTTAAATAACACATTCTGTTGAAATAAGATATCGATTAAAGTCGTTGAAAATTACATCACTTCCCATTTTAGTCAAAAAGGCTAAACAAATTGATTAGTGATGTATGATTTATATGACATCTGTAAGATCTAGGACTATGAATACCAATGGTTCGTCATTGATGCGCCTCTTAATTTAGATGTACCAAACGGTGGCAAGTAGCAATAATTTTCGGGAAATAACGCAAAAAATGGTACATGAGAGATACTTTCGAAGTAAACACATCTAGTATTATCAGACTGTAGAACACTATCTTGAAGAGGGCAACGGTAATGAATTAAGTAAAATAACATGAGTTCATTTTATTTGGTAGGATTCTCATCATCCGCTTACAACCTATAATATTTTGAAAATCAGAGTTATTTTGAAGTTAGCATACTTATAACAATAAGAAAGGGTATTTCAACATAGTGGAGCGGTGATACCGAAGACAACGAGTGTTGTAAATGAATATAATATGAAAGAGGTCGTTAGACACTAACACGAGTTATAAAAATTAATTACCTGCCTATATAATGCAGTAGTTGAATCGTGAATTAAAAGCGACTAAGAATCACTCGAGTGACGATCAGTTAATAAACTGCAGTGAGTGTCCAGAATCGGGGTCTCCGGATTCAGTGCTCGAAGTCGTGGTTGACTATGAACACCACTACATACCAATTTTGTCCCCGTCACTAAGTGTAATGTTTCCGTGAATCAAGGACAGAGAAGAAGAGTTAATCCATACAAAGGAATATATTTGCTGGTGATTTCGTGGTATGGAAGGTATACTGAAATCGTGCCAGAGAAAAAGGGTGAAGTCACACGAGCAATATAACCAAAATGGCAGCAACACAAACGAAAGGTTGCACGTAGAGAGTAGGAATAAACGAAGAGTACAATAAAAATATCACCGGTATAATTGGTTATAATAATGAGTGTTTCTATTCATCCAATCGCGTTCTCTTGATAAAAGTGTAGTCACTGCTAAAGTTATGAATTTGAGAGAGGTGGTGCATTTGAAACGAGAATGAAGATTTATTTGTAGGATTGATGTACTAATGACCATGATAAGGAAATATTTACAACGGTTTCCTTTTGATTACGTAAGTCCAGATTGTGGAGTTTAATGGTCTCGGCTAATTTGAGAATAGGCTTCAACTGTCAGTTCATGTTGCTTAAGGATCTCAGTCTATCAACTTGATTCCCTGTGTCACATGTGCAGTAGTACTTCTCAAAGCCCTTAGTTCTCTTGACCTGAGACTTTTTGGTATTTAATATTCTTGTAATCTGACATAAGCCTTCCTTTCTGTTCTACCAATATAACTGCTTTGGCAGGTATAAGAAAATTTGTTTTTTGTTGGCGGTAACATAAAAGGAGTGCTTATCGATCTTTGGAGTAAAACACATAATGAGCTTCGTTACAGTATAAGTTCTAGTCAGTAGTTTTAAGTTCGCTCATAGTCACTGCAGTATTGTCACTTTTGTATTCAAGTTGAATGAAGGCAGACTTCTTGTCTGCTGTAGTTTATTTAGCTGTTTTGTCTTTAGTTTTCTCATACTTCTCAATGATTCTTTTTGGAAAACCGTTTTTTCTTAACAATCGTTTAACATTCATTAATTCGGTAGCGCAGTTTTCTTCCGTTCTGTGAAAGTGTTAAGATAAGTGCCTTTTGTAGCTAATTAGACAAAAGCTGTTAAAATTCGGATAAAAAATCAGTACGAGCATATTGGTATATATCGAATGGCGTCGTCAAGAAAGTTGAAGTTTTCACCTCTTTCCTGTAAGCTAAATATTTTTCTGAACGACTTTGGAAAGTTTTAACACTTAATAAATTTATGAATTTGATAGAACTAGTGCAACTGAATTAAGGAAGAATAAAAATTTATTTTGCTAACTTTATATGTGAATCTAATGTTTTTTTATGAATTATTTAACTTTCACAGAAGAGTAATAGCAAACAGTTAATGAATTTTCATCATAAAATGCTATTCGAAGTTATAACGATATAGCAGGATGTGACTAATCAATGATATATCCATATTGCTCGAAGGTCTTCTACGTTCATATGCACCAGTAGCCATATCTGCTGGTTGAGTTGGCATGCCATACGTGAGCGTTTAGTACCCAGAATGGGAGGTCTGAAGGAGACATTGTGAGTTGGATGGATCCAGCCTTGAATCTTGATTTATCAGGTAGGGCACTGTTATCGATGTGTGCTGGTTTGAGACGATAAATGCTGACCATGTCGATCGACCTTGAAGGTATCTTCGTGACGAGAGATCACATGAAATGATCCTTTGTAAGGTTGTTGCAAAGGTTTGAGTACCGATTTTACTCGTATGGACAGATAAATAGCTCTTGAGGAGGAGCGATCTGTCGATGTGATATTCGAGTTGACACCAGAGGCACTGTTCGCATATTCTGGCTTATTGAGGTTATTACTGCTCCATGGTGTGAAAAAATCCACCAGGCAGATGCAGTGTCGTGCCGTATACAAGTTCAGAGGCGGAACATGGAATATCTGCCGTTACTGCTCTGTAATCACCTCATGGTCTCCGACTAACACCATATATATTGCGAACCGAGTGGAGAGAGGAGGCCCAAGGACCATGAGAAAGACGAAGTAATACATATAGCAAGTAAACTGTCAAACTCACGCTTAGCGAAAACCAATCTGTCCAGTGCCAGTCAACGAGGTTTTGCCTTAAATGGGGTCTGCAGATGACTATGTGACTTACCACATAATTATTCACCGAAAGAATCTCGTCGGACTAGTTACTTTGTGGAATTTATCAAATATAACATAAAATACATAATAATGCAGTATCTAATGCACCAGTGATTCGGTACACATCTCTTAGAACGGTTCAGCCCTTGGGTTTAATATATGATGATGTACTGCAGCCTATGCGAAACGAATAGGAATGACAAAGCCATTCGCAGAGCATGTTCTAAGTATCGTAGCTTGAGACTTGCTGCTACCAAATAGTACGACTGAAACTTGAGCACCTGTGGCCACTAGGTACCTGGAATTAGTGTGAAAATCGTGCATGTAAAATAAACGAGCAACCTGAGGTGATGGGAAGGAGAGTGGTCAAACTGCAGTGACCATCGGAATTTATCATATTATAACTATCCACCATTTCGAAAAGTTTTTGTCAATATAGTATGTATATTAAGTATCGATATAATATTAGCAACAACAGCAAAAATCAATAAATGTAGTTAGATAAATAATAGACTCACCTTAATTGGCTCGTTTTTGGCAGA